AAATGCCATATACTTTATTCAATAGGTTTTTAAGCATGCTAGTGACCAAGGTGGGAAAAATCTTTCAGCAAATAGTAGTGTTCCAATATGCAGTCATCAATTTCATACATTTTAAATTTTTAATGTACTAAAATAATGTGAATGTTATTGCATGTATTAAACTTTGTGTTCCATCCATATCGGAACAAATTATGTATTTATAATATTCAATTTATGAATTTAAATTTATTTTTATTTCTTTTAATATTTTTTATTTAATGATAATAATTAATATTAAAAGAAAATTTAAAAAATAAATTTATTAATTTAACGATGTTTATGCCTTAAAACGCCGCTAAATGCCAAAATTTAGCGGTGCTTTCTACTATAAATGCCATTAACTTAATGACGTTTTATACTATAAATACTACTAAATTTAGCTTTTAGCGATATTTTTAAAAACAAACGCCGTTAAATTTAGCGACGTTTTCTGATAAAAATGCCACTAAATTCTAAATTTAACGGCATTTTTTAGAACAATCACTACTAAATTAAACAGCTAAGTTAGCGACGTTTTTCTAAAAATGCCTCTATTTTTTCCAACGCAAGTATAATCGATACTTTTAGTGGCATTTTTGGCAAACGCCACTAATCTTTTAGTGGTGTTTATAAACACTGCTAAACGTGAAAAAAATGGCACTAAAAACCTAATTCCTATAGTAGTGAATGGCTTGTTCAATCTCAACTCCATCATCAATCCACGTTCCTCTCTCATTTTTTAGATTTGTTATGAAATTATTCATTTTCCTCCTAGAAGTAGTAATATAGAAGAAAGCAGTATTCCTATCTCCCTCTTGTAAAACTATTGTCTCCACATTATTTCCTCCAATGTTAAAAGTCCAATTAGCTCATTTTTGCATTTAACTATTTCTGCTTCATTATCACCAAATTGTTATTTTAGTATTAGTGCATTTAACATCTTTTGTAGTTGTTGAATATTTGCATTGAGATTCCCATTAGTTATCTAAATATTCAGTCTTCAATTCATGTGTTTGTGTGCAATTTTTCAATGGTAGAATAATAAAATTCATCAACATAAAACAAAGTATAAGGAGGGTGAAAAGCAAGCCAATTAAACTAATGCACTAAAAGGATTTCCTTCTCACTCCTCAATTTATGCCCTGTGTTGTCTTTTTCATTTGACAAATTTAAAGACCAAAGTAACCACAAACTAACAAAAAATTGTTGGAAAAAATGGCCTAAAAATATATAAATTAATGTGTATTTGAAGATGAACTTATGAACTTTTTCTAGCCTTCCCTTTTTGTACCTTATGATGAACAAATTAAAACCTTTAATGATAAATGGAAATGGATTTAAGGCATATTGTTATTGCCATTGTATTTAAGACTTATTTTGTCCTTACTAATTATGTTATGTGAAAGAGGTGAATCAAAATGCCTTCAAGATACATTTGAAATTTGTTTTAATTACTTTGCACCAGTGAATTCAACCATTAAAAGCTTTATGACGACGATGGGAATATTTTGTCTTTTACATAGTTTTCTCCAACAAACAATGTTAAAGTAACTAGTCAGTTTTTAAGATAAACAATGAGATAAAGAAAGAATGTTCTCTAAATTTTCAAGATATTTTAAATGAACTCACAACATCTCTATGTATATTGATTGAACCTTAAGACTATAATTCTTTGATTATGTTATTTCAATCAAAGGTCACTTCTCATAAAGTTGTCCTTTTTTTTATAATTATAGGTGTTCTTATTCATTTGAATAACTAATCTTTTTATTTAAAAAAAAAAAACCATTTATCATGTTTTAGGATATTATATCTTTTTCAACTGGAGTAGTCAACTCTTCCATAAAGACAACCAATTATTCCTTTGTATTTCCAATTTTTAGAATGCTATTTAGAATAGGGCATTCGATTTCTCTTTAAGGCAATTGACTTTCTTTTTACTTCTGAAAGGCTTTCAACTCTAGGTCAGTTGACTCCTTAAAGTAACCGACTTCTCTTAATGTGTATAATGGTTCAACTATAGGCTAGTGGACTCATTTTCTAGAGTAATTGACTATATTGACCAATTTTCATTTTTCAAAAAACTTTTAATCTAGAGCAGTCAATTGCCATAAGATTAAAAATCGATTGGCTTGATTTTTAGCCATAGCAATCGATTGCCCTAACTTAGATAATTGATTGCTATTTGTTTTCAAAATTTTCATTAGCTTCTATCTTGCATAACAATTGATTGCTCTTCCTTAAAGTCTATGACAGTTGACTCTTAAATGTATGGCAATAAGTTACTTACATATGCAATTTTCTTCTTTTATGTCTAGAATAAAAACCTTTTAACTTTCAAACCTTACCTTAAACCTAATCTATAGCTTTAATATGATTTCTCTTTCATAAAAAGTTTACATTTAACCATAATTTTTATATTTTAAAAATTATTCTAACAAAAATACTATAATTGATAGATTTTGGATGATAGGTTTTCTTTGAAGATGGTCAAAAGCAATTTTTTTTTTCTTCTATTGTTAAAATGGTTTAGTTTGAAGTAATATCTATGCTATGATTTCATTTTATTCTTAATTTAAAAAGTTTAATAATAATAAAAAAATAAATTTTTTCTTGTAATTTATGAGTTATAAATATTATATTTTTTTCAACAATAATCAATGGACATAATAAGTAAATCTCTTAACAATAAAAGATAGATAGAAATATGCTTGTCTAGTCTTAATCTTAACAATGAGTGAATCAATGAATGAAAGTGGAAGAAATGAAGTTTAACTCCCTTTTTTATGTATATGTTAGACCAATCACTTCCCGAAAGGATCTTATACTTTGTATTATTAATATAATCTAGTTTCTTTTTATAATATCGATTTATATAATATAATAATATAATAGATTGAATTTATCTAATTTATTTCTATATCTAATTTATTTCTATATAGAATAGAGTGGCGATTCAAATGAATGATTTATGAGTATAAATCATGAATCAAAAATGGAAAATCATAAAAGATGGAAAAAGCTTTTGGATGAAGAGAAAAACAAGAGATGTATAAGGAAGAAGAAGAATAGATGAAAATTAGTCCTATTAATGTCAAGCTGAAGGAAATAAAATAAGTATTAGCCAAAATGACAAACATGGAAGTTAAATGTCAAAATTTAAAAGATACTTTCAATTCATCTTAAACCATAAAGTTTGTTTCTAGAATTTATTGTTACAATTTTGATAATTTGAAAAATTTTAAAAGTGAAGACGACTTTAAGACATATTTATTTTAAATTTATTTTCTTATGATTTAAAAATATATTTAATATTTTATTCATTCTTTTACTTTTTTTTTTATGTTTTAAAATTTATTTATTTATTTTATGCAAATATATTTTTAAATAACTTTTTAAAAATATATGTAAAGGAGAAAATATATTTGGGAGGACTTTTGAAATCTTATATATCTTTACACTCTAACATTTGATTGGGTGATTATTATAGATCTTTCACCCAAAAAAAGGTTTAAATCCTCATTTAATCTTAAAACTAGAAAATCTATCCAGTCATACTTGGATTGTAAAATTTTTTTATTTTGATGAAATATAAAATTTTTAATTTAATAATAAATAAAAAATTAATTTTTAGTATTTTGCTGGTTTTTGATATTTAGAAAATATAATCTTTTAAAAAAATAAAAATTGATGTGTGTTACCCAATTACAATTGGATAGATGTTGACTTTTATTTTAAATAAGGGAGACTATTTTAAAAAAAATTTGTAGAGATTAAATCCAAATTCAATAATACATACATGACAATTTAACTAATTGATACAATATTTATTTATTATCAATATTAATTAATTATCAAATTCAAACCCATTTGCTCATGAAATCAAAGGCCACTAATGTCATCACTCATTCAACTTAATTTTTTTAAAGAAAAAACAATAATTTTATTATGGTAGGAAATGCATTATAGTAATTTTAACCAATAATAAGTGGAGATCAGTTTTGTAATTACGACTAAAGAGGGCATTATAATAACTTTGAGCAATTGTGATATATCGGTATTTCAATAATTATAATAAGAATGATATTACAATGATTTTAGTTAATTATAAAGGAGGTATTACAATAAATTTGAACATGTGCATTCAATTTTTCGATAACTAAAAATGTATTATGATCATTTTCAATAAAATTTTTGGTTGATTATAAAAAGAAGGAATTACATTAATTTTTTACACATGTCAAGCAATAAGTAAATAATTAGAAGCCCATAATTGTCATTTCTAAATGGGTTTATTTTCATTATGTAGTTATAAATTTTCAAATAAAATAACATTTGTCAATTTTTTATGAATTTATTATAATGATATTTTTATAATTATGGTAAAAAGGTATTATAATTATTTTGATCAATTTTGATGAAAAGTTATTTTAATAATTATGATAAAAAATATTATAATAATTTTGATCAATCATGATAGTAGGTAATTTTTATAATTATAGTTGGAGGGATATTATAATAATTTTAGCCTAATACAGTATGAAGTTTTATTTCTATAATTATGACATAATGATATTATAGTGATTTTATATTTAGAAGAGTTTTTTTTTGTCATTTAAGAATAAAGGACATTATAATAATTTGACATTTATAAGAGAGATTTTTTTGTCATTTAAGAAATGAAGAAATTATAGTAATTTACATTCAAAAAGGGGTACTTTTGTCAATTAAACAGGAGAGCATTATCATCTTATTAGATACATGACAAGCAATTGGCCGAAAATTGAAGGGGTAAAATCGTTATTTCAATGGTTGGTTACTTTTACATATAGTTGGAGATTATAGATTAGACGATTAATAAATTTTAAAGTATTTAATTTTGTTTTTGACAAAAAAAAAGATTTATTTAAAAAAGATTTTTGTTTGAATAAAAGTACAAAACGGTTATTTAAAAAAATATTTATATTCATAAAAGTTAAAATTGTTAAAAAAATTGTACCAAATTTGAACACGGAATCCAGAATAAAATTATTGTGACGCAAGGCTAGAGTTGAAACTTGAAATAGAAAAAAAAGATGAAGCCCTGAGACCGGCCACAGAGGAAGGGAAAGGGAGTGGTCGAAAAGGGAGAGCCACTTAAATTCCTAATCCCTAATATCCTCTATCTTTCTCTTCATATCCTTCTTCAAATTTTAAAACCTTTTTTTTTTTTTAATCGATTGAGAATTGGGAAAAAAATTGAGGAAATGAGCAGCCAAGCGGTGCCTCCACCGCCCGCATCCCGGCGGAATTCTCATAAAAGAGGACCCTCCGCCCCTAAGAAGTCTCACACCTCTGACAATGCCAAGCCCACTTCTCCTTCGTCAGTTTCCTTATCTTACTTTTTCCTCTTATTTCTTAGTACGATTACTTTTGAATTTTTATTTTACCAAAACGCTGTCTTAATCTTTTGTCAGTTCCATTGGCGATGAGAGGACAGTGAAGAAGCTGCGGTTGTCCAAAGCCCTCACTATCCCGGAGGGAACCAATGTGTCTGAGGCTTGTAGGCGGATGGCAGCTCGTCGTGTGGATGCTGTGTTGCTCACCGATGCCAATGCCTTGCTCTCTGGGATCCTTACTGACAAGGTTTTTGCTCTTTACTTTTTACTATCTCTCAACTGCTTTTGTTGCTTTCATGTTGTTATTTTAGATATCATTGCCAGGACATTGCCACTAGAGTTATAGCAGAAGGGTTGAGGCCGGAGCAGACTGTTGTATCCAAGATCATGACGCGTAGTCCAATATTTGTTACATCTGACTCTTTGGCCATCGAGGCACTCCAGAAGATGGTTCAAGGTACATGAGTATGTTATTTTTAGGCCTTAACCTGATTGAAACTGAATTTGTTGTACAGAAATAATTGGATGATATTCCAATGAAATTAGAAAAAGAAAAACTATTATAGTCTTGGTTTTTGACAGCATTTGGAAGGAACATTTATATTTTTGTTAAGGGTTAAAACTGAATGGTGGGTGATCATATGCTCTTAGAAGATATTTGTATGGAGAGAAAGAGACTTGGAAAAGACTTAGGGGATGGTTGCAGTGCTGGAAGAGTAATATTGCTTTCTTTTAGTTCATGTATAGAGCCTTTGCTTAATATATGCTAGAGCCAAACTAAGGCTGATCACAATAGCAATATCTTCTTAAACTTTATGAGCTAGTGTACATACATGTACTGCACTTCATTAAGTGGTTCTTTTGACAGGAAAATTCAGGCATCTCCCTGTTGTGGAAAATGGTGAAGTCATTGCTTTGCTGGATATTACAAAATGCCTTTATGATGCTATCTCTAGAATGGAGAAGGCTGCTGAGCAAGGAAGTGCAATTGCTGCTGCAGTGGAAGGGGTTGAACGCCAGTGGGGAAGCAATTTTTCTGGTTGGTTAATTTGTTTTCTTCTGGATTAATGACCATAACATTCTAATGATTCAATGCCACTACTTGCATATATGTGATAAGCTCTTGTAGTTGTCTCTGTTGTTCCAACAATATTCACCAATATAAATACTGACTGACTTTTCTTCATAGTTGTAGGCTTTGTTTGTTTTGTTGAAAATGATTTTCGAAAAATAATTTCAAGAAAATGTTTACATTTTCTGAATTGAAAGAGATTTTTTGTTGTTTAGATGAGTTAATAAAAAATGTTTTCTATTATTTGGTTGTTTTTGGAAATTTAAAAAAAAAAAATAATATTAATATAGCTATTAAAATATTAAAAATTATTTATTATTAAAATATATTGAAATTATTTATTATTAAAAAATAGTTATATTTTAATAATAATATTTAATATTAAAATATTATGTTAACATAAAAAATACTTAAAATAAAACTATTTATTATTCTTTATATTATTTATTAATATATTATAATATTATCTCTTAATATTATTTACTAATATATTATATTAATAGTATATTATTTATTAATAATATATTATTTGTTAATATATTATAATATTATTTATTAATATATGATATTAATAATAGATTATTTATATAATTTATTTATTAATATATTATAATATAATATTATTTATAAGTAAAATTATATGCAAAAGTATTGATAAATAGTTCTACTCATAGACAACTTTTTTCCAGAAAATCTCTTCCCTTTTTCAAATGCATAAGACAATTTTCAGAAAAATTGTCTAATTTTTTATTGACCAGTAAGTCATTTTCCATTAAGCAGTTAGTTTTCTGCCAAATAAACATTTGAAAATACGGAAATTATTTTTCCAAAGTCATTTTTTGCAAAACTAATGGAGCTGTAAATGCATGTGAACATGATCAGTCATTATTATTATTATTATAGATGTCTGTGTCAGTAAAAATGGATCATTAATATTATTTTATATTAAGTTCTTCTGTTCTTTTATTTTAACTTAAAGTTGGCACATGGAAATGACTAGGGGTCCAGGGCTACTCTATTTTGTGTTCTGTTTGCAATTTTGGCATCTGATCCAGTTTGGTTAATTGGGATAACAAACTGTTTCACTTGATAGTATTATAAGTTTTGATGCTTTAGTTTGTTTCCTTTTTTATCTATGTTAGATGTGTATGGATATGAAAGATTTTTCTTTTTCTCTTTTTCTTTTTATTGCATGTTTCAATATAATTTCCTGTTTTTATGTTCATATTTTATTGTTTTATTACTGGGCTAACTTTTTGCTTTATTACTTGGTGCATGTGTAGGTATGCGTGCTAGTAGTTTCTTTTTTTTGCATGCTGTTTTTTACATTGAAGTTAGTTACTGATTGTTGCATGATCCGATGCTCTACTTGGTGACAAGGCTCCAATTTATTGTCTAATCCTAAACACTAAACCCTAAATCCATGCACTACAAATTGAACTTTTGTTTATTGTCTAATAAATGCTCTACTTGATCCATAATAAATTGTACTTTTGTTTTCTGTGTATTTTTAAAATTAATTGACATAATTTATTTTTTCTACATCTTAATAATAATTACTTATAAATACAAAAAATGTTTCATTCCTTACATTTTTAACATCATTTCCTTGTCAGACATTTTAACTTTGCACAGCTTGTTTTCACAACAATGCCAAATGTTCAAAAATCTCAAACCATATTTTTTTATAGCAATTTCTCACAGTACTTTTCAAATGCAGTTCCCAACCTGAGTATTTTCAACCGCAACCACAATGTCAAACTAGGCCTTAGAGTCTTAGACAGCTGTGTTCAGACCTAAACTTAGATGTTAAGGAACCTTTTTCCACCTATAGTTTCCCGTTATTTAAAATTGTATAGGAGTTGTATAATTCGATTTTGCTTGAGGAGTACATGTAGTTTGATTACTCTGGTGTGCTAACTTTAACTAATATATCTTATTTAAAATTGAATTAATCATTCATTTACTTTAAGTCCTGCATGGACTTTGTTTTGCAGAGACAAGGATTTAAACTTTAATGTTTAAAGAAACAATGTCTTTTTCTATTCTCAGGGGGTGTTTGTAGTGAGAAGCTTCCATGTAAATTCCCAGGAATTTCCATGGGCAGTTGAAGTTTCCTGTTTGGACTGCAAAATATTTTCAAGTTCCTAAGAACTTGAAGTGCCTCCAATTTTAGGAACTTGGTTCCTCCATTGAGGTGTCTATTTCCAATTTTCATCATCTTGGGAATTTTCTCTAATTTTTGTTGTAAAAAGTTCCTTCACCTTTTAATCTTCTGGACTAAAGCAGGTCTTGTGCCGTTATTTTGGTGGTTTTGGCAGTTATTTGTGGACATTATTTTGGGGTAGAAAGGAAAATATAAATGTATTTACTAGTAGTATTAGCCAAATGGTTTACTAGTTGATGGATGATAGATTTTATTGTTAGAAGTAATGAAAGAAGTTATATTGTGGATTCTTGGACTCGTTAGTTACTATTGTATTTAGGCTTTGTGCCTAAAGTTAAATATTTTTACTTTATGTTCTTAAACTTGAATGGTTTATGGTTGTCAGCCCATATGATTTGCAGTTGACGAATAGTATTTTCATTTTATTTCTAGGTGCTTAGATGTGTTTTTCTAAAATAGATTCATATAACTTAATGCTCTGCATGCTATATATAATTTAATGAAGTACTTGGAACTAAGTTATTTTAGTTTTCATAATTATTAACAATGTTATAAATTCAACATAATTGTGCAGTTCAATTAGAGGTTGAATGACTAATAAAATTATGCTGAAAAACTTTTACCACCATGGGGTCTTATAAGAATTTTATTTTCATGAATTAGTACTCCTCTCATTTTGTAGTGTTTCATCAAACATGGGAAAGTTAAGTTCTTGGGTATGTAGCATCTTATTCCAAACACAGGCTTTTGAAATTTCTGTGCAAGTTACTTGCAGTCTTTCTTCCAAGGAAATTGGATTTCACATGGGAAATTGACGCTGTTGACTTGAAACTCTTTAGAAACTTTCAAAAGACCATTCAATCCTAGTAGAGAGAAGCACCATTCTAATCTTATTTTGACCCCTTATTTTATAACCTTTTTCGTTAAAGAAAAAAACTCATTAACTTCTCAAGGATTTGAAGGTTAGCAGCAAGGGATGTGTTAACTGGAAAATACTTCTACCTAGGGCAGTTTGACTAGATGCAAAGCAATATTAAGAGAGGAATGGCTGCCTTGTAGGATTGTTGACCTCCACCTGTGCTCACTTTGTTTATTATATTTTGGTCAGTTAGTTGATTATGTAGATATGTTTCTTCTTGATTCCAGGAATTGTGAGGTTTTGAAATTGAATAGCCCTAGAATAGGAAATTTTATGAGTTTTTGGTCAACAGAAGACTATATAAGGATATGAGGTATAAAATGGACTTACAGGAATAAAGCAATTGTCTTCAGGTGTTGCTTGTATGCATCCTTTACCAGAATTTGGGTAAATCTTGCAGTTGGCACATATATTGACATAGAGAGAGAGAGAGAGAGAGAGACAAAGAGAAAGGATATGTGTGTTGACATTTGTCTGGACTGATATAGGAGCTGAGGTCATGAAGGAGATAGGAAAGATACTAATGTGACAATGTTTTCCCACCTTGCTGGTTGTGAAGAATGACCTGATCTTTGCTTCCATAGATTCTCAAGATTTATTGGTCTGAGGTGACATTAGATAGAAGAAGTAGCCTGGAGAAGATGAACAATCAGAGGTGGAGCGAGGGAAGAGTGGTGGGGAGAGAGAGTCATGTGATTTAATGCGATGTCATGCTTTTATATTTGAATGTGATAGCAGCACTACTGTTGAAAAGATGATGGCAGAGAGTGAAAGGAGGCAGCCAAAAGCCATGTGTTGGGTTGTTTTTTTAGTCCCTTTTATTTTTTCTCAGATTAAAATTGGGCGTAAGCCTTTAAGATGCCATTTTCAAAAGTTCTGGGCTTCATGTTTATGGGTAAAATAGTACTTAGTCTTGTTATAAAATGCACAATATTGGTCATTGATGAAATCATTTTTTTTTTTTTTTGCGTGTGAGAGAGGGGTTTTGGGCTAAACAACAATAAGCATCTTCTGTACTTAATGTATAGACGTGTCTTGACTTGTCAGAAATCCTGTGTTTGACATCTTGAATCTCTATTGGCAGTTGACAATTGTGCCCATTCTTGTAATATATCCATCATAGAGTTTACTTTTTGGCTGTGAGAAAATTTATTTGATAAAGTTTTATGGTTATCATATTGATAACAGTTTCATTGCTGGTACTCCAAATTTATAGACCAAGAGAGAAGGCATAATTCAAATCATACAAATTAAAACTTTTGTAACTTTCAAGTTTTCCTTGCAATTATATGTCTCTATATCTCTATAGATTAAGAAATGTTCATATGTAGTATCAGAGTGTGTGTGCATGCACATTTATATGTGTGGTAGTACATTTCTTTGAATAAGATGTATGGTCAAGTGTATAGGCTAGTGCTCTTACAATATGGATTGAAACTTGTGATTTCTTGATTAACATTTTGTTTTGTTTGGCATGTTTTATTTCAGCGCCATATGCCTTCATAGAAACTTTGAGGGAGCGGATGTTCAAGCCGTCCTTGTCAACTATCATTGCTGAAAATTCAAAGTATTTTTCATCTCGACTGTCTAATGACCTGTTATTTTCAAACACAATTTCTTAAATACATATGCTGGTTTTTTTATTTGTTTTATCAGTCCTCGTAATTAACTTTTATATTTTTCAGGGTTGCAATTGTTTCATCATCAGATCCTGTTTGTGTTGCTGCAAAAAAGATGCGGGAGTTGCAGGTTAATTCTGTTGTTATGGTGACGGGGAACAAAATTCAGGGGATACTAACGTAAACTTTTTTTTTGAACTCCTGACAAACCTTTCATGAATTTTTCATATTATTTTTTTGAGATATTTCGCACCATTACTTGTATTTCAGTGTGTATTTAAAGTTCCCTATTGATATATATTGTGATTACTGATGGTTGCTTTACTGCTATGCGCTGTAGTTCAAAAGATATCCTTATGCGAGTTGTGGCACAAAATCTATCTCCTGAGCTAACTCCGGTGGAAAAGGTTCATTCTTGATATATTTGGTTTGATTTACATTATAGTCTTTGTTATTCACTCTCCACTGATATTGACAGTAGCTATCAACATTTATTTAAAAATTGTGTATTTTAATATATTATACAACTGAGTTTTAACTCTATCATGCATAAATACTTTAGCAGGTACAGTGAGCATTTATATATTTGTAGTTATTGTGCTTGACAATTTTCTTAAATAGATTTTTATCCATGGAGTAACATCTTGATATTGTTTTGGAAAGTATATCAGGGGCTATCCATTGTTTCTTTATGTGTAAATTGTATTAGTGGCTCTCCAGAGTTCAATTGCTTGTTTTGTAATTACCATTTTCAGTTGGTGTTTGAGTTTTGATTGGTAATTATAGTTACTCCTTTAGCTTTACTGTCAACAGCTATCAGTGGTTTATGTTGGGTAGTCTATTATGAACTACACACTAATGATTAAATTAAATTGGAACATGAAAATGTTTTGTTTCTTTTAAGTTTTAGTTGTTTCAAAAGGATCAGTTGCATAGATATTGCATAACTGACCATGGAATGGAATGTGCAATTTTATAAAATGTACTCTTGACATGAGATATGTCCAATACATAAACTGCAATTTTATGGCATAAATGGTTTCTAGTTCCAAATTTTCGATTCTTGTCAGAATGGCACTAATCTTTTCCTTTATTATATACAGGTGATGACACCAAATCCTGAATGTGTGACAGTAGAAACAACAATCCTTGATGCACTGCATGTAATGCATGATGGGAAGTTTTTACACCTTCCTGTTCTCGAAAAAGGTGAGCTTTGGTTGTTTTTATACAGTTTTAGATTAACAATTCTTTCATGTTGACGTGTGTGGAAATGGCTGTTGTGCAGAGGGAACTGTTGCTGCTTGTCTAGATGTTCTGCAGATTACTCATGCAGCAATTTCTATGGTATGTATTTGATGTATATCTAACTCTTATGTATTTCATGTTTATGCATTTTATATTTATGCAGTGCCTTTTAGGTATAAGGGGAGGATTTACATGGGGTCCATTTGATTGTTGCTTTTGCTACTTGCTTTTTCCTTTATGCTTTTTGCTTCCCAAAAGTTTCTAAAAAGCAAAATAATAATTGATTAGAAGATGAACCAATAAATAAAATCAAATCCCTATCCTTACTTAACTGTTCTATTGAAAAGTAAAAGAATGAATTTTTCTCCAAAATATATAATTATGATTTTTAATTATTCTAAAATATTATTGGCTTTTTTATCCATAAATGCTCTTTTACTTTGAAAAGCAAGTGGCAAAAGAAACAACAAAACAGAGCCTTAATAAACGAGGTTTATCTTTACTCTGATCCAGGAATTTCCTTTCAAAACCTTGTGCGAGAGGAAGAGCATAAATAACATTCTAACTAATTCAAATTTTAATATGTTGGTATATTTATAGAATGTATGCTCATAAACTATTAGAACCCAGGGATTCAAATAGTGGTGGCGTAGTGGTACCATGGCTGCTATTTCGCAGTAGCGGCACTCTTTGCCACCGCTTTTCAACCGAAATCAAGTGTGTTCAAAATTCACGTCTTTAACAGGGTGTGGTGGCCGCAAAATACCGCTGTAATGGCGAATAGAAACAACAAAGGGATGCAATTGCCTGCAATTCCTGTTTTTGGTCCAGATGTTAATATAAAAACAAATTTCTTTTCATCATCAAGCATTAAAATTTTAGTATAAATCAACCAAGAAAAGTCTCAAAAACAGAAAGGAAAGCCTATATCTACAACAATTAATTGAAAAATCAATCTCAATAAAGATTAAGAAAAGTTATTGAAAATAACTAATAACAAAAAACTGAAAATAACCTTTGCTTTTTTGTTTAAATTTCTGCAAATTGATGTCGTATGGGACTTGGAGGAACTGCAACCTTGAAAATTTTTGTTCAAACTCCAAAATCTCAAGAACCCATTCATAAGCACTCCATGGGTGTGGGTTTGGTGGCCGTTTAGGTTGGGAAAGGGAAGAAAACAAAGGAGTCATGGCTTCGATGGAAGCTTGGAGGGGGGTGGAAGCTTACTGCGGCTGATGGTGATGGCTGGTTGGCTAGAACTGTAGGATGCAGGGGTTGAGAGTTGAGAGAAAAAAAAAAACAAAGAAAAGTTTGAGTCGAGACAGAGGAAGATGGGGTTGTTTTGATTTAATGACGGAAATTTTCTGATGTGGTGGGGAGTTTGGTGGGGTTGAGTTTTGTTAGGGTTAGCCAATAAAAAATAGTTTAAAATTTTGGTGTAAATTTAGAGGGGAAAATTATCTTTGATTAAAATATTTGAAAATTCATTTTGATTTAGATTGATAAATTTGGATGGAAGGGTTTGATGGAAATTTGGAAGGGACATTATTTAATGATTTAGATAAAGAAATAAAATGTTAAATGATTGATATTAGCTTATATTAATTTTATTGTTTATTAGTCATTGATTCTATATTTTGTGTCTATATCAATGAAGTCAATAAAGTTTTAAATAATCTATTAGTTTATAATATAATCTATTAGTTTATAATATTATTAAATAAAAATTCTTGACATTTAATATGATCTCATTTTTTATTTTGTTAATTATTATTATTATTACTATTACTATTAGATTGGTTTAAATTTTAACTACATGTATTTTGTCAAATTTATGTATTTATTCAATTTATATTCATAGAAATTATAAATATAAGAATAAATAATTTTTTAAATATGAATATTTTACTATTTGTCATAAACTTGTGATTATTTTGTTCTCATATAAATAAAAGAACATAAAATGTCGTTAACTAATTTAAAAATCATAAAAATGAATCATAATTATAATTATTATGTTTTAGATCAAGTTGTGCAAAATAAAAAAAAAAAAAATTCACAACCGCGGTGGCTACAATGACTACAATGATATCTGTTATTTCTGCAAGTGCGATAAATGCAATGTGAGTGAAAATGTGTCCACAATCGCATTTTAAATCTCTATTAGAACCTGCAATGTCATCGATGTGTTTTCCCTTTAGTTTTCTTTCTTTGTTTTTTTTTTTCCCTCCAATGCAACTATGTCATGTTTAAATGTTCTCGTGCAATTTTGGTTAGAACCAACTAGTATGTTTTCCCTTAAGTCACCCCCTCTTTTGGAAAGCAGGACTGTGGCTGTGCTTTAGATAGGTTCAAAATGTTAGAGGGGGAACATGGCCACATAGGTCTCTCACCCTTCCGTTTGAACCAACCTGAAGCAGGGGGGCCTATAATAAAAAATTGAGCAAAAGTCCTACCTTTGAACATTTTAATTGTGCTTGGCCTAATAGCTGAGTTTGGTTAGAGCTTTATACCGGATTGTGAGCTTGATATGTGGAGCTTGAACATGTCTATTCAAGCTTGAAAAGCACGGGGACTAAATGCTTGAGCTCTTTTAAATTTTTGCAATTTGAGCTTGAGCAAGATAAAACTTTGCACAGCTTGACTCCTTTCCCCCTTAGTCTCCACAGTTTGAAATATTTTTATTAACAGCTGTATTTTATGGGTCATTATTTGTTCTGTTAATTGATGAACCATATAGATGGCAAGATGAAATAAAGATTCATCAAAACAATAAAAAATCTAGTTGAAAACCAGTATTTCCATGTAAATTATATTTTGTTGAAATCCTTAATATTGCTAGTGCTGAAGGCCTTTATGAAAACTAATTTTATTCGAACCGTCTCTTTCTGTTTAATTCCCAATTACTAACCTTCAACACTTTTTGCCTGAAACTTTTTCAGCACCTTCCCAAATTTTACATTGTATATGGCTATAATAGGTTTATACTTCCGGAGTAGTTGGATATGGCCTTGACTCATTCCATCGCATATTTTGCTAAGGAATATTATTCACTTGCAACAAGCGACAAATTAAAAGGAAAAGTGCCCTGTAATATGGTTACCAAATGTACTGTATAGATCTTTTTCTTGTTTGAATCTGGCTACTATTGTTTCAATATTTGTTTAGCTTTCTATATGTACTTACATAAGTGTCTCATATAGTTTCTACCCCCCCCCCCCTTTTTTTTAATTTCTGAAATTTGATCTTTTGAAGGTGGAAAGTAGCTCTGGAGCTGTTAATGAAATGGCAAACACAATGATGCAAAAATTCTGGGACTCTGCCCTTGCATTAGAGCCGCCAGATGGTTATGACACACAGAGGTATTACTCTTTTTACCTCACTTATGGTCACAACCTGTTATACTCTGGAACTAACCCTGCAGAATGTTCATTTCAGTGAAATTTCTGCAATCATGGCATCAGATGGGGCAGATAATGGAAAGCTATCATCCTATCCTTCCCTTGGCCTTGGGAACTCATTTTCTTTCAAATTTGAGGATCTTAAGGGTCGTATACATCGATTCAATTGTGGTACGTAGCAATGTAGTTCTAGATACTTGCAAAAGAAATTGATCTGGATTTCTTTAGATACATGCCATTTCACAGCTATAAGAATCAATGCACAGATTTCCTAATGCATACCAGAACTTTATTATTTAAAAGAAAGAAATATTTTATGGCTGAATATGATGTAAGCATGTTTGCAGGCTTTGCTAGTATGTTGTATGCATGCAAAAGTATCATATTTATATTTTGTTCTTCAGGTACTGAGAATTTAGATGAGCTTTTATCAGCTGTAATGCAAAGAATTGCTTCCGGTAATCATAGTCGTCCTCAGCTTTTGGTGAGTTGTTGGGTTTATTTGTTTATTTGGTATTTTACTTTCTGTGTTTTCGTCATATTTTTTTGTTTGTACTCATTCATTCATTGATTATTCTTTTTTTTTTTTTCTCTTAATGTAGTATGAAGATGATGAAGGTGATAAGGTTTTACTCACCACTGATGGTGATCTTATTGGTGCTGTGACCCATGCTCGATCTCTAGGACTGAAGGTAACACATTGTTTGTGTGGTCACTTCTTAATGGACTATTGGTTCTCTCTTGTTGGACCATCCTATTTTGTTGCTGCTGTTTTTTTTTTTTTTTTAATGAATATTTGTATAAAATACATTTCATTATTTTTCTAGGTTTTATTTTTTTTTTCGACTCTAGCTAGGCAATTTCATGGAGCCTAGCTTTGAAATGTGTGAGCTGTAGTAGATCTCACATTAAATTTTTGTTGAAGGTTGGGCTGGCCTTTTAAAGAGGCTCAAGCTTGGTTCTCAACTTGGGTTTTGAGATCAAACCCTTAACATAGTAACAAACCAAAAAGATAAAAAATGTTGATATGAGCAATAAAGAGCCAAAATTGGTAAAGACAGTACTTACTCTTGATATGTTATTCTAAATTTATGACTGTCTTCCTTTCTCACAGGTTTTAAGATTGCATCTGGATTTTTCTGATTCTGGTCAGCAGATAATATCACAATCAACTGTAACTGCCAAGAGAACTCAAAGGGTCTCTTTTTACACTGGTTTATTGGCAGGAGCAATTGTTCTAACCAGCATTGGTGTGCTTTTCCACTTAAAACGCTCAAAATTGTGAGGTTGTGCTGATTTATCCAAGAAAAAGAACATATCATAAATCACAACATTGATTATTTAATTAGGCAAGGAAACAGGGAGTTTAGAGACTAATTAAGTTCAAGTCACTGATTGAGCTGAAGAGCTTTTTTGTTTGGACGAGAAGATTGACCTTAAAACGGTTGGAGCTGCTGTTGATGTCCGGTGTCAGGTGTGATACTTGAAACTAATTTCAATACAGTATCTGCAGAATTCATTTTGTTCCACATGTAACTCAATCTATACCCTCCCATATGAACACATGAGGGTCAACAATTGTATGCAAGTATTTTGTAAACTATTTTGGTATGCATACTCTATTCTTTCAATGACTCAATGCAGTGTTGCGTTTCTCATTAAGCTCATATATGCGAATGTTTAGCAATTTTATGAAGACTTACTGGCCTTCCACAGCATTTTGGGACCAGGTCTTTGGTATTTTACTGCAAACTACTTGGATTGATCGGGACAATCTTGCCCAGGAGGAGCACAACTTTTTTTCAACTTTAGGGTTGCCATTGTTTATGGATGAAAGCTTGAATTAGGATGTGTTTTTGACTTTTGAGGAAGCATAAATGAACTGTTCGGTTAAATGTGGTTCATACCGGATACGTTTACAAGTTAATAAAATTTAGTTACCGTAATTATGGTACAGAGCTCATTGGTTTATCATTTTTTGACATTTAAACAATGATATTGGATGGTTGGAAGAACCATTTGGCTTTTTGCCCGTGTTAAAAAATCAAAAGGTGGAAGTCACTTTATGCAGGTTTTTTGTTCTGGGACACAGGTTTAACAATACTTAATTGGATGATTAAAACAAAAAACAATAGTAAGAAGACAACTAAACAATCTCAAAGCTATTATTAAAAAAAAAATAGTACAAAGACATCTAAAGAGTCTCAAAGCAACAATACAAAATTAATTCTTGTTTCATTAAACCAATCCTATCCAATTTGATAAAGGTATTTAGGATCCAAATGTTAAATTAGTTCTTTCACCGTAAAAAGTGAGTCAACAAATCTAAAGGGTTTTTTCTGATATTTGGTCCAAGCTAAGATGGTACATGGACCTTATTTCTCGGAATTGACCTCAACATTGCTAGGATTGTGTTCCACGTAACAAGTGCTTGACCATGCTAACATATCCTAAAGACAATGGAGGCACACCAACCATGTTGGCACAAAATGTCCCACATCATACTAGTCTTTAGTCTACTCAGACTGGGTTCGACCTAACCACTCCCTTCTTCAAGTATAAATACCTTTTTTCCTTTTAAGTAAAGGGATCGAATCCCAAAAAATTTCCAATTAGCATTCCTCATTTTTTTTTTCTTATCTCTCTTATTTTTCTTTTTACGAGTATTGGCTTGAGTATTGGAGTATAAACGTCGGAGATATCTTCAGCCTTTGCTTTTAACCAACTTTCATCTTTGTGATTTTAGGTTTTCACCCCTTGTATCAAGCTTGGCACAAACATTTTTGATGTGTTAGGTAAGGGGATCACTCATTAAGCCAAGCTCCCCATGCCACTTAGGAAGAAAACCATTGAAAAAGGAGATAATCTTACTACGATCCGGACTATTAACCACCCGAAATGTGATTGACTTACGTAAAATGCACCTATCATGGAACAATTCTAAACTATGACCCAACAGCTCCTAACCCTCATAGAGTTAATCCAAAACATAACCCTTTCTCAAACCTTAAAAGAATCAACAGCCAATGCCTAAAGAAACCCACAAATCCATAAAAAGCTAACCTACGATGATAATGAGGTTGGCTTATCTATCTTAGAAAATGAAACCCTAGAAAGCCATTACTCAGCTAATACTAAAACCTAAACTTCCTTGAAATCCAATTAGGCAACCTCGAAACCTCAACCAAACAGAGATTTAGAGGCTTGTATGGAGGCAATGGAGAAGGAACTCAGAAACAAGACTTTCACTTTTGATGACAAACTTAAGTTCTTGAAAGCCTCTTCGTTCACTGAGGATGTTGATTGAGCTCTACATCTTAAAGGATTTAAAATGCCAATTATTGAGACTTATGATGGCACAATTTATCTTTTTGATCATCTTGAACTTTTCAAGATGAACATGCTGATACAGCGAGCGACGAGCCACTAATGCGCAAAAGCTTCGCTACGCACTAAAAGGAGCTACTTAATCTTGGTATACCAGGTTTGAACTTAGACTGATCTTCACCTTTAAATAGCTTGATCACTTATTCCTAACCCATTTTGTCAGCAATTGGCAAATATAGATATCCTATTTTAATATGTTGGTTGTTAAATTTGGGATTTTTATTTGTACTTTTTTATTTTTTTCTTTATATTATTTTTATTTTTTATGCTATCTTTTGTATTTATATTTCATTTTCCTATTATAAATATTTATTATTTATCTTTATTTGTTTATTTATTTTATTTTTTTATCTTATTCTTTTAATTATTTAATTATATAAAAAAGCAAATTTGAAATTAAAAGAAAAAGTTTGGTGATAAGATCAAGGGCAATATAAAGAATTTGGGTGATAATTTAGGCTGTATTAGAATTGGCATTTAGTTTAGACTCGTAAGGATAACTTGTAGTTTTTTTTTTTTTGATAATCTAAAATTTTAAAATTTAAGTATGAAGTGATAAGAAACTCTCCTAATTTAATGCTACAAGCAACACAATAATCATGGAGGAGAATTTGAGAGAAAAAAAGTTTTAGGTAGATCAATTTCAAGTTTTAAGCTTTTTCTAGTTCCTGATAATTTTTCGACAAGATTTCCAGGCTTCAACAAAATTTTTAGCTTGTGTTGACATTTTTCAGTAAGCGTTGAAGTTCCTTACGGGGATTTTGAAAATATCTCCAGATTTCGACAACCTATTTTCCTAAGTATCAACCTGATTTGACTTGTATTGCAGGTTTTGCCTCTTTTTGATTTTTTTATTTATGTTTAGTTATTGTGTTTTAATTGGTTTATTTTATATTACTTTTATCATATTTTACTTATGTAGAAATTTTTAGGATTAGGTAAAATTATTAATTTGATTAATAAAAATAAATTAAAATAAATTAAATTTAAAATAAAATTTTAATAAAATCTTGAAAAATAAATAGTAATTATCTAAAGATAAAATTCTTAAAAATTACAAATGGATAATTTTCTAAGAAATTTTTAGGTGGGAGATTTTTTTTTTATTAAATTTGACCAAATGGAGGAAAAATTTCGATAAAATTTTAACAACGATAATTAGTATTTATTTTCAAAGTGAAAAAATAATAAACTTCATAAAATTTTGGGGATGAGTTAATAATTATCCAACATGAGATTTTTAAAAATTTCAAATGGTTAATTTTTTTAAAAAATTTCTAGATGATGAATTTATCTAAATGTAGCCTACATGGTGAAATAATTTAGACAAAATTTTAACGAAAGTAATTGCATTCATTTCTAAATCAAATAATTTTTTGATAAGATTTTCAGGCTTTAACAAAATTTTTAGATTATGTTGACATTTTTCAGTGAGCGTTGAAGTTCCTGACGGGGATTTTAAAAATATCTCTGGATTTTGACAGCGATTCCCATTTTCTCAAGTATCAACCTGATTTGACTTGTATTGCAAGTTTTACCTTCTTTTATTTTTTTATTTATGTTTAGTTATTGTGTTTTAATTGGTTTATTTTATATTACTTTTATCATATTTTACTTAGGTAGAAAGTTTTAGGATTAGGTAAAATTATTAATTTGATTAATAAAAATAAATTGAAATAAATTAAATTTAAAATAAAATTTTAACAAAATCTTGAAGAATAAATAGTAATTATCTAAAGATGAAATTCTTAAAAGTTCCAAAAGGATAATTTTCTAATAAATTTCTATGTGAGAGATTTTTTTTATTAAATTTGACCAAATGGAGGAAAAATTTCGATAAAATTTTAACAACGATAATTAGTATTTATTTTCAAAGTGAAAAAAAAATAAACTTCATAAAATTTTGGGGATGAGTTAATAATTATCCATTGACTAGATTTTTAGAAATTTTAAATGGTCAATTTTTTAAGAAGTTTTTAAATGATGAATTTATCTAAATTTAGCTCAAATGGTGGAATAATTTAGATGAAATTTCAACAAAAGTAATTGCATTCATTTCTAAATCAAATAAAAACATAACTTATAAATTTGTTAGAAAATATATGGCAATTATCCAAAGATGAAATTCTAAGAAAATCACAAATGGCTGACTTTCTAAAAGATTTCTAGGTAAAATTTCTTTTTAAAACTCAACTCAAATGGTGCAAAAGTTCAGGTAAGATTTCAAAAAAATAATCGGCATTTTGTTTTCATTCTAAAAATTAAGAAATAAATAATGAATCAAGTTCTATAATAAGAGTCTTAAAACATATAATTTTTTTTAGAATATTTCTAGGTAAGAAAAATATTTCTAAATTCAGTCCAAATGGCGAAAAATATATTTTCAATACAACAAAAAATTAGAAATAAAATTTACAAAATAAAGAATAAGTTCGATGATGAAATTCTTAGTAATCATAAACGGATAATTTTTTAAGAAATTTTTAGGTAAGAAAATATTTTTAAATTTGACCCAAATAGTAAAAATTTTAGATATATTTTCAATAAGATACGATTTAATAAAACAACTAATTTAAGTATTTTTTTCTGATGATATAGCATCTTTAAGAAAGCAAACGGGATTTTTGAATATTTTTGAGGTGACAAAGTATCTTCAGAAATTCTGTCAAATTGATGGAGAAATCTTAGAAGTTATTTCTATTATTTACATGATTGCCCCTTTTTGTGAGGTTGCAAGTGCACAGATCATTACTAAGTAATAAAAGTGGGAGTAGGGCTTGTCGTTTCCTTGAGAACTATATAATGGTGCTAGATCAAGTATCGAAATAATGCCTTTTAACCTTATATCTAAATGGCTGAAATTATGGGAGATTGAAATGAACACTAATAGGCTTCATAATGTAAAGGCTAACCAACTAAACAAAATAAGAATCTTGCTAGTAATGATGTAGGCCAAATGGAAAAAAAAATTTGTAAAAATAAAATTGAACCGAATGCTCAATGATGTCAAAGAGAATGGCCAAATGCATTTCAAAGAAATAAAAATGATTATAAGTTTAAAAAGTAAAAATAAAATGTTTTTAAGGGAATTATAAGTGAATTGAAATCAAATTAAGTGCAATAACAAACAAACTGAAAGCTTTAAACATAAACAAGAGTGTCTAAAGGAGATTAAGAAAAAATAGTGTGCTTGCATTAAACTAAATAAAAGAGAGATTGTGCAAATGTAAAAGAGACTTAATATTAAAACAAAGTTAACAAAAGTAAAGGTTAAGCTTTGACCTTTAGTCGAATGAAAAAGAAAATAACTAAAAGAGAATTTAAACTAAAGAAAAAAAAAAGATTTAGGAATAAGAGATGGGATCTATTACAAGAGAAGTTCATGGCCTAATTATAGTGTATGTTTCGGTCAAGAGGGCCAAATTTGAACATTCTTGACTTTGGCAAGTAATCAATTACATTCCCATTGATTGAAGAATTATCCTTGAATGTGATTGATCCAAATCTTATGCTTACCTTCAATTTTATTGCTGCCCATAATTTGTAATCCAAGAAAAGCATTCAATCAAACATTAAAGACCATATCATATGTGATTGAGCAAATCACA